ACACCTTGAAATAAAGTTGAGATGTACATGTGATATTGAAGCTGAATGCAGAAGGGGGGGGGGGGGGGGGGTGGCATGTATGCAGATTTTGGAATCTAATACAATGTAGGTCTGTGAACTCTCATTCATAACACAAGTAAACATATCTTGAATTTGAGAATAAACTACAAATGTAATATCAGATTCTGAATATGAATCTGAACCAAAATTACTGATTGTAAATTCACAGAGAAATAAATTCTTGGAAAGTTATTTTAAAATATTTACTAAGTTAATTTACTATGTATTTTAGTCATTTCATAACGGGAGAGAAAAAAATTGAATAAAACACATTTTGAAAACTTACATTGATTTTAATAAAATCACATTTTTGAAACATAAATACAGAATAAGAAGCAAAGATAGGACTATTTGTCTTTGGAGTATGTACATTGTAGTATGAATTGTATGTATCAAATTAATAACACATTTACAGGACCTATGTATTTGATTTTTTCCCCACATTAAATTGTCCAGAGTTTTGTTTCTATCCTGGTGTCTTCTTACATAAGGCTTTCTGCCTAATATCCATGACCTAGAACATTCCTGTAAAAAAGGAAAAATTAATTTGATGATTTGTAACAAAAACCTGGTATGCAGAATCCAAATTACAATTACATGTATTATTATATATAATTATGACTATATACATGTAATGCTTCACAATATCTTATTGATAATCACATGTACATAAATCATAATTTATTAATGACTGCATTAAATTATACTAATACTGCATAATTATACCTGGTCTTCAACCAAACTTACAGGAATGATAAATATTGATAATATTTACTTTCATGGTACAATGTAGTAGATAAGCTAGAAATATATATATACATGTAGAATAAAGTTTTATCAAAATAACTTTTATAACAGCTTATTCCACAATCTATATTGAAAAATATGACATGTGTAATATGTTTTGCTAAATCTATGAGGAAGTAATTCATCCCACCAGTGTCCCATTTCCAAGTTTTTACACCATTACATTTTTTCTTCAAAATTTTAATTCATCTCTTGATTAATGTATCACCAGAAATCAATCTTGGTGAATGCTTGGTTTAGCACAGAGACTAAATATACTAAAAGAGACATTAGCAGCAGCTATTACACATTCATTTTCACATGATAGATTTTAGTATATGGGGTTTTGTCACATTTGATATGACATTTATCAAATTATCTGTTGTTACTTTGTTATTGCCTGGTTATCATATTCATTTTCCACCCTTGTTATGATGACCTATGTCCTTATACATTATTCTCTATGATTCGATATATACAGGTTTGGCCTATTGCATTTTACTTCTGTCCTTACTTCCTGTCATAATAAAAAAACTATGCATCTTTTAAAAATTTACTCTGATTTGTTCAGATATGAATTTAATTTGACAAAAAAAAAAAAATGATACACACACACAAACACTACACGCATGCATCTTGCACACAGGGGAGGCCGTCCTTAAATGACCTTAGCTGTTAATAGGACGTTAAACAAAATCAATCAATCAATCAAACCAAATACAATAAGAAACAAAGTGATTTGTTTACTAATTTTAAAATCTTTCAATAACATTTTGCTTTGATGATTTGAGTTGAAATGCAAAATGCAAAATTTCACTGCCTAAAACGGAGATTACAATTTAAATGAAGGAAAATTACCTGTAATGTATTAATGTATTTTCTACCACTGCTTTTCCTTAACCTAGAAAGCTGCTCATGACTCTTGTAAGTAACTGATCAGAGACAACATGCACAGCTTCCTGCGCAGTGACGCTAAATTTGAGAAGGATGGACCCACCTTACGCCAGATTCTTCCAACACTGCCACCAAACTAGCATATCCTGGGTGACTCGGCCTATCCCCTGTCTGTAAAGTTGCTAGTGCCATTTCGTGACAATGGGCATCTAAGTCATATTGAAAAGAAATACAACAAGAGTCACTCCTCAACAAGAGTTGATATTGAGCGTGCATTTGGTCTCCTTAAATGTAACTTCAGGAGGCTGCAATATCTTGACATGCACCTGCTGAATTAAATCCCTAATGCCATTGTAGCATGCTGTGTACCACGCAATTTCATTCTACAGAATCAATCTTCTGATGATGAAGAGTTTGATATGTCAGATGGTACCTGCTGTCCACCAGCAGATGACATCTCTACAGGATACAACTCTACAGGACAAGTTGCCTTGGCAAAACGTCTGGAGATTGCACACATGTTAGTGTAATCTGGAAAATTCTTCAGAAATACAAGCTTCTCCTTCATTTTGAAGCTCTTAAGCTTCCTATCATAAAGAACTGAAAGAAATATGTGTATTATTCAAATATAATTTAATTTACTACATAACGTTAATTGGTTACATCTTTAGAATGAAATACAAATATACAACATATACTGAATATTTTTCAATTATTAAGCAATGAATATTTAAGCAAATATTGTTATGGTTCTATAACAAACATTGCCATACAATGTAGATGACAAATTTAACAAAGCCCAGTAGATATTTAAGTAAGTTTGTCAACAAGAGAAACGTGTTATAGGACCATAACAATATTTGCTTTAATATTCATGATTTTTATTCACATTTTGATAAAGAAGTTACGCTTTTTTTTTTTTAGTTATTTCCAACAGTTCTGTGAACAAAAGTCTTGACAACAATCATGGCGATTATCTTTTTTTTAACTGATGCTGCTTCCAGTGATTTCAGAATATAATTTCTATCCTCTGCAATTCTCACTGCCTTTTGTTGTGTTTCTTTAATATCTGAAAGTATTTTGTTTTGTTGTTCGGAAAATTACCTGAACCAGGCTGGAATCTCTTCTCTCTTCCTTTTTCTTTTTTCCTTTCTGGCAGGGGAAGTTTGGGATTTATTTAGAGCTGTACTGCTTGCTGGAGCTGTACTGCTTGCTGAAGTATTGCTATTTCCTATTATGTTATAAAAGCCATTATTCCAATTTCAATTTTCACTTAAAAGTACCTATTTAACATTACCAAAACAATTGCATTAATAGGGCTTTGAGGAGTATGATTGCAAAAGGATCAATGTCATTTTGATGGTTCTGTTTTTATCTTGAATAATGCAACATAATTATAAAAAAGCAAATATTAAAGGTAAGTTAAGCTGTTCCATTAGTTATTGTTTGCTGAGTGTATATTCCTATCATATTGTCTGAAGTTTTGGTAACATTAAAGGCTTTTAAGTATACATGTTCAACTTTTTAAAACAGTGTTCCATCACAGTGGTCAAATGAAATCTGATTTATAGGTAAGTGAAGATATTTGTAAATTTTAAGGATAATATGTACAGCAATAATATATATACGCTGTATATCCAATTACCTTCCATTGATGACACTATTGTTCCTGGCCGAACAGCAGGATCACCCGCCAGCAGCTCATCCATTAGCTGGAGTAAAGATTAGTTCATAGTATGATATTATCAAATATTTATATATTAGCACAAGATATATATATCAGTGATTTGTTTTTAAGAGAAAAATATAATTCACTTATAACAAAGTATGAATGTACATCCCAAAACGAACTGAAATGCTGTATTGCATGGAAATTTAAATGAATATAATTTGTCTTGTGCATCCTCTACCATGGTTGATTTGAGTAACTGAAGTCATCAACATGTGATTAAATGTTTGAGGAATGGTTAAACATATGTAGGAGAATATGTCTATTATTGGCCAGAGCAGACAGTTAAAAGTGATGTTTCAAGTATAGCATAACAGACATTTCAAAAAGATGACATCTAGCTATAGGCATTGTAAGTTCATCATGAAATGAATTTGTTATTTACTTGCATAAAAAACATTATGAGAATAGAACAAACTTGATATATTTTACCTTTATATATCTTAGTCATGGTATCATTTACTACACACCTCTATTAGTATTTTCACATGCTTCCTTATCATTGGTTACCACTTGTAATTCTGGTAGGCTAGCATGTACAGCTGACTCACTTGACACAGGTTCAGATGATGAAACACCTACACGATACATGTAAAATTATAAACGTAACCATTTTACATTAAATTATACATTATTTACTTGTTAAAATAAATAAATTTATGTACAGGTATATCCATGAATAAGGACTGGTATCATACAATTGTATTACAGATTTCAGTCATGGTATTTTGATTATGAGCAATCTTTGAACGTGAAATTATTCCAGAATGAAATATTCTTCTTTTACAGAACAAAATTACAACCTTTTGTGATACATTTTTTTTTCAGAAAAAAATCCATTCTAGATCCTGATTTATAGTGACCTGAATTAAATATATTATCATGATATGTCGGTTAAAATTATGTTCAAGTCACTTGAGGCCTGAGGGTACACAATTTGGGGCAAGTTATATAGTTCATGATGATGACATGAAATAGTTTCAATTAATAAGATGTACCTTACTACCCGCAATGCACATACCTTTACTCAAAGGATTAGGGCCACGACGGCTCCAAAACGGCCCTATTCCATCATTTGATAAAATTGTGGTATATTCATCCATGGTTCTTAAGGAGCATTCAAACACACATACAAAATTGAACAAAAACAGAAAAAAACGTGACATCGTTATTCTACGTCAAGGTATACATACATTAGAAATTAATAACGCTAGTAAATTATGACGGTACACATTAGTTTCATTCAATAATATATTTTAATATTTACATTCATCATGTGCTTCAGTAGTAAAATGCACAGTACCACATATACACACACATGGGTATATTAGCCTAGACTGGTAGTAAACCGATCCCGAATGCATGTTTAGCCCCAGGTTTGATGATAAGTACCACACGTTAGGTTTCGAAGCTGTTCCTCATCGAAACGGGGGAAATCAGGCACGGTATTTTCCGTAGATGTTTTCCATATTGCTGAACGCCTGTACAAGTTGATGTCCTCGACAAATTCTTTCGGAAGGTTTACCTGTTTTGATAGGTATAACATCTTGGATCCCATGCATATATCCGTCTCAGCATTATTGGTATCGTTTAACGCTGGAAAGAACCTGTTTGAGATAGCACACACAATCCTGACATAGTCGCCGATATGTGGTACTTGATTTGTTGGTAAGACATGGCTAAGGTATTTCCATTTTTAATGCGGGCATTAGCGGATTCCACGACCCAACGAACCTAGATAAGAAAAAACAATGTTTTGATTATTTTTTTGCAATACATACCTTTGTTACAAGTCTGTTTGTGTTAGCATCATCCGTGTCAAATTGTTTGTCTCCCTTGTGAAGGAACGACGGCATTTCGGCTTTGATACCGAGATCTGTAAGGAGGGAAAGTGAATCTCTGAAACCTCTATCAACGGCAACAATGTCGTCCTCGTGAACCCAGTTCTTGAAGTCTTCAACATTTGTTTTTAACATATGGTTCAGTATAGAGGCATCGGTTTTCTTGGTGTCTGCTAGGTAAGGACCAACAATTGTTACAACGTAGCCACTTGTGGTGACAACTACCATGGGTTTGATCAACGGCCGTCCCTTGTGTAGACTATACGATCTTCGCTGGAAATGGAAATTCCCGCTTTTCTGTATATATATGTATGTACCGTCCAAGACGAGGATAACCTGATTACCACCGATGTCACCAAATAAGGTCTGTGCCAAAGGACGTGTATGATGCTGTATGACGTCTTCCCGTGTTATATGCTGCAATCCTAAATTAGATGGAACAAATCTCGCCATTAGTGCCCTCCTTACACTTGCTATCGCACGTCGCAAACTTGACCTGGACAGGTTGAACAAAGTTGACATAATTTGTTTGACATGCCAGGTTTCATTTCAAGTAGGAAGATTCCAACAGATGTCTGTGTGCTCCTAACTGGAGGGTTTCGTACATCACTTATAACAGCATCACATAACTCAGAAAAGTTTTGTTTGGTAAGACCAGTCAAGTTGGTGCAGTATGAGTCTGACATGGATCCGATATGGTCGAAGTCGATCCTGGTACTTGATCACTTCCTGGCATAGTCCCGAAGCTGCTAAACGAGATCTACAATAGTTGTTCTGTTCACATAAGAACTGTCTGTTGGTAACATGTTACTCAACTCAGTCTGATTTATCTTTCCATCTCTGATGTGGCCGGGGCAACATCCACAATGACCCACTTCTCTAAAAATATCGAAAATCTTATTTCCGAAGAAACGACTATTAATTTTGGTCCAAATAAAGCAGTAAGCATGTGTCTTGACTGTGCTACCAATTGAAAGAGATATGGAAGGTGGGCTTGCTGTCGGATTGATTCTGCCTTGTTTCTGTGGAGGTATATATTCTTCGTCATTGTTGACGCTCTGCTTCCTTGGAAGTTCAAGTCTAGTTGGTTTGCCGCAGTACTTGTGTCGACATGTATTACAAATAACGCTTTCATTTTTGACGACCAGTAAAAATGCTCTGCGTAAATATATTTGCACCTCTTTATTCAGCTTTCGGCGTTCATTTGGCTTTGTCGTTTACTGTACAAAACACAGGGACAGTTTTTGGTCCTGTTCCGGACATCTCTGAAAATAATCAAATTGATTCATTTAATGGAATCGAATTCATTCTTTTTATTATGAGCATACCTTTACTATTTCATTGTGGCGGGATGAGGCCTCCACATGGTGAAGAGAATTAAACGTGATGCCTTGCTTTCTTATCCATTGAATAATTATATATTTTACACAGGTTTTAACTTTTATCAGTTAAAAAATGCACTTGTCTTATAATAATTATATTATAGGACATCATACATGATTGTAATGAGCCATCATTTCAAAGAGTAATATTATTCAATTTTACTATGAATGATACATTTTATTTGTGTTCTTTAATAACGAAAACGAATAAAAAAGAAAACGGTTTAATAAAGAAACGAAATCGTCACGTGTCGAACCCAAAAAGTTGACAACATCTGCCGGTCTTCAGTCCATTTTTTTTTTCTTTTCTTGAGAATGTATCAAGCATTTATTGGTCCAGTCATCGAGCCATATATAAAATATAGATTTATCACTTGATTTAGTTCTTTTAAGTAATATCAGAACAATTAACACTATACAAGCACACATTTACTCCAAAATTTAAAACACAATTTGAACATCACCATCTCTCAACAAAATAACGTCATTGTTCTTAGTGAAATATTTGGCAGTTATTGCCCTATTTTTCTCTTTGTTATAATATGTAAAATATGTTTTACAAAAGTTTGAAGGTGAATTTAAAAAACTTTCCAATATCAAGATTTTTCCGCTTATATTCACAATACCTCGCAACACTCAATGTAAAATTAATCATATAATTGTTTACTCTCTTCCATTTTTCATAAAATTCAAATAAAACTAGGCTGTCAATATTGATACTATTAACATAACCAGTATCCGCACTAGCAAATCACTTATCAAGTAAATTTAAAAAAAAAAAAAATGCTAAACACTTGATCAACCCGTTCACCTGGAAACTTATTTTCCCAAAACTTGACCGCTACCGGCGCGACAAAAGTAACATCCACCAATACGTTGTAAATTTCACGTTTAGAACGTGGTGACACGCGCACGCCNCCTCAATATCAGTTATAAGACGAAGAAAAACATCATTCAAAACATCATAAAATTTACAGTNAATTTCACGTTTAGAACGTGGTGACACGCGCACGCCGTTTGCTCTTTGTAGTGTAACAACGGGATCTAACACACATGTTTGATCTTAACTGATCATCAACATTGAGGAGACTTATAGGCCTTCAGCTCTTAAGTTTATTTTTGTCACCTTTGATTTTATAGACAAGACTTACGACACCAAGTTTCATCGTTTTCGACAACTCGCCGTTCTCCTCAATATCAGTTATAAGACGAAGAAAAACATCATTCAAAACATCATAAAATTTACAGTAAAATTCCACCGTCAAACCATCTTGTCCGGGACTTTTATTATGAGCCATTCCCTTTAAAGTTGCTTGAATCTCTTCTTCTGTAATAGTTAAATCTAAAATCATTTTGTCTTTTTGAGATAACTTTTTATCAATACATTTTAAAAAATCANGTTACAGTAAAATTCCACTGTCAAACCATCTTGTCCGGGACTTTTATTATGAGCCATTCTCTTTAAAGCAGTTTGAACCTCTTCCTCTATAATAGGTAAATCCAATACATTTTAAAAAATCATCAATTTCCTCATCATTAACTTTAACACACGAGTACAACTTTCTATAAAACATGTATATTTCATCCATCATTGAAACAGTATCACTTATTACACCATTGTCATTTTGCATTTCTTTGATTAGTTTTAAATTTTGTCTGTGTTTTTCAAGCCTCAAAAAATGTGCAGTATTGCGGTCACTCTCAATAGCCCATATGGCTTTAGAACGCAAGACAGCACCTTTGCATTTTTCTTCCTCAAAACGTTCAAGCTCAGATTTAAGCTCTTGAAATTTCCGAGAGAGACATTTATCACTGGATCCTGCTATTTGAACAGATAAATCACGCAACTTGTTCTGAAGTTTAAAATACTGTTCGTTCTTTTCTTTTTGTCGCCTTTTGCCAAATATCTGAGATTTAAAAAAAAAAATTACTTTAAATTATCCAATCAAACAAGTGGCTCATTTATATACAATTCTTCATGTTTGGCATTTAAAATAATATCTTTAATCTTATCACTATATTCAGTTTTATATAAAAAATGATTATTAAAAATCCATATACCCGGACCTCTCTCTACCTGACTTAAATCAAGTTTCATAGTTACTATACCATGATCACTACACGACGTATCATTGTAATATACATTACGTACAGTAGCCGATAAACGTCTCTCATCAGAAAATAGTCAATTCTACTCTGTGACACACTTTCATTTCTAACTTGTTTTCTTGAAAACACAGAACAATCACGATTTCTGTTCCTCCATATATCACATATATTAAAATCATTCATAATACTATTGAGTTTAAATACAGTTATCCTCACAATGCCTTGTTAGCCCACACCTGTCAAGTTGACTTAAGGTTGTATTTAAATCACCAGCTATAATAACGTTATCATAACACTTTTGCAACTCTTTTGCTAACGAATCAAGATTTATGATTCTTTCCCGATTAGTATTCGGGGCATATATATTAAATATATTAATATTTTTCCCATCAATTTTCATTGTTACCCTTAGCAACTTACCATCTATAATTGAATTGCTATCAACAAAACCGTCTTTAATATTATTTCTTAGCAAAACAGCAACACCCTGCCGACCATTATCACTATTTGAATAGAGTATCTTACCTTTCCATTTACTCTTAATCTGCGCTAAAAAGTTATCAGACCAAAAAGTTTTTTGTAATAATACAACATCAGCATATTTATCATCAAACATTGTAAAAACTTTCAGTACTTTATCTACATCCTTCAGACCATTACAAATGAATGAAAATAAACTGAACATTAGCAAAAGTAGACAAATGTACATCATTGTTTTTCATCTTTTAAGAAAAAATCCTTTCCCTTATCCCTTTTCCCTTTCTTATAAACGTTTGGAGAAGGCGATGATTTACATTTCCTTTTCGATCTGGGCAGCGCATCAGCCACATTCTCCTCACCACTCATATATATATCACTTGGGGGAGAGGTGATATCTGTACATTGAGATCCCTCCTCCCCATTGTAACATACATCATGACTCACATTACGACTCACATTACTGTTTATTATTTCATTATCAGGGTCCTGTGTACCTCGCTCAATGGGAGAAACAACCGGAAGTGAGGTCTCCTCCCCCATGGACAAACCATCTATTAATTTCACCTCGTCTCCCGCCATACTTGCGCCATTCACCGAGGTCAAGGTCATCACCTATATCATCTTATTTCTCAACATCGTCATCGTCATGAAGACCCCCGTCATCGTCATCACCATCAATCTCAGTATCGTCATCACTGTCAACATCACTACTCGCATTGTGAGTTTGATTTTTACACACGCAAATAAATTGTACACATGTGTCGCACTCCCTATCCCCTTCCTCCTCATTCTCATCTGTACATGTACAGCGGGGGTTGCACTCACCACACCTCTCGCATAGGGATAGTTCCTTCTCACACCGACAGTTCGCTCGAATAGAACAGCATCGCTTACACGGTGGTGTGGTGCAATTCCTGGCATAGTGTCCCCTGCCACTTACACTTAAAGCATGACAAATCAGGACAGTCTTTAAATACATGATCTAAAGAGTGACACAGATAACGAAACTTTTTTTGATTGTCATGTACAACACGATAATATGAATTGTCCAGCTTTACCGTGAAGGGAATATATGGTAATTAAGGGGGTAGGCGAACTTTTACAAAACGTGTCCCGTCCGCCACAGTCGTGTTCGGATAAAATCTACGCTTCACGGGCGACAATACCGTAACACCCAGCAGTCCGAGTTTCGCAAGAATTTCTTCATCTTCTATATACGCCGGTTATGTCAAAAGGACACCATCAAAAAGGATTTGA